CTGTCAGTGGATTACCATTTTCCAAACATGAAAAGTCAAGAAAAAAAAGAAATTAAAAATAACGAATAAAGTTTGAAAAAAAAGTACAATGATTTTTCTTTTTAGACTAATATATTCGCTTTATGAATTAACAAACGGTACAGAAACGATGGCACCAAATGAATGTGATACGACCTGTTTTTGACGTGGCAATACTGTTGATAAATCAAACTTTGTTAAACTTTTTTATTTTTTTTTTTTTGCTGTGGTAATACTGTTGAAAACTGTTCATCAGCGTCATATGTTCAGTTTTGGTTTATCGACATTTATACGTGTATAGAACGACTTTGTACAAATTTTAAATTTCAATACTGCAGTTACCCAAACAGTTAATCTCTGAAATTGTGAACATGATAAAGCATATCCGGGATTAACAGAACAACCAATATCTACATGAACAAAATTCTTAGCTGTTTTCAGGATTCTTGAACAGCTGTAGTTTAGCTGCAACTGCTTTACCAGACAGCACGGTTATCGTACGAATACAGGTCAAGCTATTGTCTGATGACAGTGCTCTATTGGCACCTTAGTATAAGCAGTTAGTGAAGATAAACTTTTGCAAAAATATAGAGGAGAGCAAAGAAGGAACAAACTAAGTGATCGGAAGATTAAAGGTCTCAGCTTTTTTTTTTTTTTTAGCTATTTGAAAGGGTTTATGTTTCAAGTCAGTTTTTTTCTGCTTTTTGGTTTTAACTAACGAAAAAAGAAATTCATGCGGCTTTCCTTGGTGATTGTTCCTTGTTTTTTTGTTTATTTACTGTTGCAACAGGATTAAGGTTTGAAGATTAGCGTTATGGTAGGTGTTTGTGCGTACGTTTGTAAATATTTGAATAAACAAATAAAGTAAGATAATAATAAAAAGAAAAAAAAAACAAAAGAAAAGAAAATCTTAGTATAAATCAAAAAAATGGAAGTATACTTTTTTTTCTTTTGTCTTTTATGTCTTTCTTTTGTCAGCTGTGTTTTTCAAGAAGCTTTAAAAAAAAAGTAGAAATCAGAAAATTGATTTCAAGAAAGAAAAAATCAAAAAAAAATAAAACTTTTTTTTTGTAGAATCCGATATTTTGACTGTTTTGACGGCTACTTTATGTCCCAAAAATTTTTTTCGTTATTAATTTATTGTTTCCTTCCTGTTTTTTTAGTCCTTACTTTGCTCATCCTTTTCTCCTCTTACCTTCCAGCTCATTCTTCTCTTATGTTCGTCTTGGTCTCCACGACGACGTCAACGACGGAGACGGCTAAGATGACAAAAACAATCAGAAGCACAATGTCGGACTCGGTTATTTAACTTGTCCGGTTTTCCCACCTCTCTTCTTGTTTTCTTTTCGTTGGCGTTGGTGGTGGTGGTGGTGGTGGCGTATATCTGTTTTGCTGCTTCTCCATTAAGTTGTCCAGTGTTCTTTTCAACCTTCCAACCCTTTTCCCTACAACTTCCCCCCTCCCCTTTGGCTGGCTTCTATCACCAACTCTTTGAAAAGTGAGTTTTTTTTTTTTTTTCGGGCAAAAGCCCACATATTTGTTAACCACGCCCCGTACTCGGTTGCAGTCCCAATATCACTATTTTTGCATCAAATGTACTTTGCTGCTCCTCGCGAACATCCTCGTCTCCATTTCTTCAAATGTGTTTCATTTTATCCCATCAACGTAATTATTTTTTCAATTATCTTTTTATATCACAATTAAAAAAAAAAACTTCTTTTTTTTTAAAACTAATTTTTGTTTTGTTTACTTTTTTTTTTT